CCCCAAAACCCCAAAACCCCAAAACCCCTATCAACATGCAGATGAGTGAAACACATTTGAATAATATAAAAATCTCACTGAATATGAAATTTTAGAAAATAAGACTGTTAAGCATAATGGTGCGGTTCATCTATAAGCAAACCCCAGCTTATTTACTATAAAAACCTACTTCAGAATATATCGGAGTCGCAAAATTTTTAATTTTTCAATTATATTACCCAGATTAATAGGCAGCCTCAAAATAAGTTACAAAGCTCTTTAAAACCCAGTTGTGAGACATGACCTTGAGATAGTATAAAGATATACTCACGTTTAGAATTTAACTTGTCAGACTTAGCAAGTACTGACGATATCATGGAGAATTCAGAGAAGTTCAAAAGAAATTACCAACAATTCAGGGCAAATTTATGAGGAAGAAGATAAGTTATAGCTAAGAGGTTATGTGAAAATTCAAAAGTAAGTCCAATGATTTTCAAATTGAGAATTTCGAAACATCTCCTAACCTGAACTTTGGGGTAAGTAGAACATCATCGAGGCCACAAGATGGTATTTGAGGATCCTCCAAATTGTTTCGATAGCTATTATATAATTCAATGGATGCCTTCTAAATGGGGTTTTAATAATAATTTTCAGCAGGCTTTATTGTCTTTAGCCAAGTAAAATAAGAAACCATAATTTTTCATGAAGTTAAGATTCTCCAGTTATTTTTACTCTTTTGAGTCCATTTTTTTCAAAGATTTTCTTCGCTTCCCATATCTCTATTTCACAATTCATAATGTTTACTTGTCTGAGGCTTCTTCTTAAATCTGGAGAAGTTGAAAAGCCTTGTATCAGATTCTTGAACTCACCAGGATGACATCCCCAATTGCTGTAGAAACGGCTTCCTGTTGACCATAAATTTATTTCCTGAATTTGGCAATTTTCAAGAGCTCTTGAGAAATCAGGAACTTTTGGGATGGACAACTTGCAATTGTAAATATCCAATCTTTCCACAAGTCTGTAAGCTGCTACTAACCTCTTCAGTTGGCTAAGGCTAAGGCAGAAATATTCGAATCTCATTCTTCTAGTTACTTTGGAGCTGATCCTGATCAATGAGTTAAAATAATTAGCTCTATTCATCTTCATTCCAACCGAGAAGCAAGTGTCTAACTCATTTACTTTATTAGGGAATGAGGAGTCTATAAAATCTAGAGCATGCTTAATTCTTCATCTTGACAATACGAAATCCGAATTGATTTAAATTTAAGAGCTTTAGACACTTTAATTTATTCATAAGCTTCGTATATTTTTGGCCTTCAAAATCCATTATAATTTTACTTATGACTCAATGTTCTCCAGATTCTGGGTCGGGCGGGCTAGTTTTAATTTTCCTCTTAAAATATATTGTAGATAATACAGCAGCACCTCTGATACTGCTCCTTGTTACTTTTGGCTAGGATAGACTTCTCTAGGCTACATAATTAGAGACATACTAAGAAGTCATATTCACGCCAAAATTTGGCAATAAATGAAGATAAACTTTAGATAAGTCTGCGTTCAAAATGAAATGTAACTCTGAGTTTGTGAGTTGTGGAAAGTATAATAGAATGTCAAACAGGCAGTCTGTTAACAAAGTAAGGGTGCCAAATTCTCATAGTTTTGAAGTATTATTTTAACGCCAGGATATTGAAATTGAAGTTTAATTAACAGAGTGCGAATTTGAGTATTGATATGAAAATTAGGAGTAGAAGACTATTGTTTGGTAATACCGAGGTATTATATATACACAAGAATTATCCTCGTCACTTTGACAATCTAAGATGAATAAAAAGAAATTTGATACTCTAGAAGGCATAAATGTATTTTAAATATCTTTAAATTTATCAAGTCATCAAATTTTCTGACCAAACTTTAGGAAAGCTCACAAATTTATTAAATTTACCTGATTCTCTGACCAAGTTTTTCTTGAGCAATTTGATCTTCACTTTCCATTTATTATTATAATTAAATTAATTTTATTTTCAATTTATTTTCAGATTGCTGGGGTTTTGGGGTTTTGGGGTTTTGGGGG